TTGTGGAACGGGCCGAACGCCTCGGTAGATTAAATAGATGCATCTATGGTTCGTGCCATTCGACCCTCTGGCAGTGCACAGTTTAAATATTGTTAGATCGAGTCGTACGTCCTCGGCATGATTTGCGCATGCTTGTATTGCTTGCCTTGAAATTTATTGAAGTTGATATTGCTTCTTCCCGGCTTGAGAATATATGTATAAATGATGAAAAAAGAAATTTGGGAATTTCACATAAAAGAAAGAATTGTTTACTTGCTTCACTCTATTGAATTACAATCATGTTTATATAAATCCTCGATTTGTCATATTATTGATGTATCATTATTGGACCACTAGTAAGTGTCGAAGTCGACCTCTCGTCTCTACTTCTTCGAGATTAGGCGGGATACTTACTGAGTACACATTGTTTTCGTACTCATGCTACACTTGCTGTGCATTTTTGTTGCACAGGCACATGCATCTCTAGCGGCCTAGTGGGCATAGCAGCATGGTTGATACGGGGACTTAGGTGAGATGCACTTCTCGAGATGACCCGCAGCCAGTAGAGTCTCTTTCAGATTTTTATATTTACTTTCTGTCCTATTTGTATTCCGGGCAGTTGTTGTATTATATTGTTTCCTAGAGATAGCTCATGCACTTGTGACACTGGATTCTGGGATTATTTAATATTGAGTTTGTTAAAGACATCAATATCTATTCAGTGAAACTCATTACTTATTGTTCAATGTATAACAGAAACGATTTCGAAAATGTTAAAACAAGAAATTTCGAGTAAATTGGTGTTGGCTTGCCTGACAATGGTGTCCGGCGCCATCACGACCCTTAGTGAATTTTGGATCGTGACAAGATCAACTAGGGACTCTAGATACACCCAATGTGAAATGAAAATATACAACCCATTCTAATCTTATGTTGAGGATTTCCTGAGTCTTCAAAATATTTAGAGTCCCTCTCTAGCCAAATAGTGTTGACACTTAATTTTGGCATTTTATACCTCAATTTATCCCGTTTAGCTTCTATTTTACTTTGAAAAATCATAATGATAGTTAAATATTTGATTTTATTTACAAGCATTATAAGTTTATTTTCTACCTTTATTATAAATTTTTAGATATTTTTGAAAATATAAGGCATTGCCCTTTATTTTATAACTTGTTCAAGCATATTTACGTAAAAGTACATTTATTTATGCTTCAAGAATTCTATTTGAATTACCTTTTATTAATTAATTTTTCCTATTATTATCATTTCATTATTAGTTTATTACTTTCAATATTAATATCATTAGTGATAATTAATTATCATTTACTTATTATTATTATTATTATTATTATTATTATTATTATTATTATTGTGGCATGTTAGTTAAAATAGTAGTCGAAATATTTTTCTAGTCCAAAACCTTTTGATGTTTAAGTGTAAACATTTTATGTGGCACCCAATTTTGTGCCACCCACTGAATCTCCACCCACTTTTTTTTAAAAAAAGTTTAACTAATTCTCACTTTTAGTCACTTTGGGATATATATATATATATATATATATATATATATATATATATATATATATATATATATATATATATATATATATATATATATATATATATA